AATCAACAATTGCACCGAATTCATTTATTGCAACAGGGCCGCTATATAGTACCATGGAGAAAAGAATTTAAGCATGAATGGAGAAAGCTCGAAAAAAAAACCTCAAATACTAAAGAATTATATTCTACAAACCTGGATCAATGGACGTGTACGTGCTTATCATATATGAAAAGTAGATTTTTCTTATGCAAGCATTTAGTTAATTCTGTTGGTGAAGTAGATATTGATTTTTTTAAACGGGTATAATATATATTGTAATTTACTATTATAAATTGTTTTATTCATTACTTATTCATTTATTTACAAATTTGTAGGTTCAACGTAATGGAGATTATCCTATAATCGCTACATATGAAGGCGAATTTGTAAATCCTTTTTGTTTTCAAAATCCTAAAGTTTTAGAAATCTCAATGATTAGAGAGTCAATTATTGAATACGAAGACGATTATGCAATAGAGGATAACAATGCCGATGAAGATGATGAATACGCAATAGAAGGTGATAGGGAACAAGAAATTTATAATCAAAGTCTGGATCACTTAAATAACGTATTAAATAAGGTAAATTTATTTAAAATTATTATTTATCGTATAACTTGTACAATAAACAACTCCTATATTTCCAGACTAAAAACATGCTTGAGCAATCACGTAGCAAATCTAAAGGTTATTTGTGGTTACGAAATGTTTATCCAAACTTTAAATCACTTGAAAAAATGATTGCTGATATTGAAACTCTTGATAATCGATGTACAATGCCAAGAACATCAAAGGACTTTAATCGCAATACATTATATTGGGATTAAAAATAAATCTTTTATGATTAAATAGATTTTCATAAATGTTATAATTTTTTTTTTAATAGTATTGAAGTTTAATCAAACAAACAGAAATATTAAAAAAAAAACTATATGCAAAATTGGATGAGAATAGATCACATGTAATGTATTTGATAGTCGTTTAAAGATCAATTAAATTTGGTATTAGATGATATCCATTTGAAATGTTGGTGTAATTCATATTAAAAATGATAGTATAAAATAAATTTTCATATTAAGCAGCAGTAAAATTTATATAATTTGAACACTTTCGCTTTATATGTTAATTGTGTAATCACCGATTAAATGATTTTCATTTGTGTTACCAAACATGCAGCTACATTTTTTTCGGGGGAATGCTAGGGTTGTTGTGCTGAAAGACTGTGCTGGACTGTGCTGAACTGTGCCGAGTACTGTGCCTCTTACTGTGCCAAACTATTAATAGTGACACTTAACTGTCGCTTGCACGAACGCTTAAGTGACGCTTGCACAAGTCGCTTATATAATGCTTTGCTGACACTTACATGATGCTTGCTAAAAGTTATAAATACAAGTAGAATTCTCCTTCTTGCCCTTTAGTTGTTTAGACCTCAACTCCCTCTCCCCCTCTTGTACTTGACTCTAAATATTTATAATTAATAAATATATTGTTATCAAATAAACCTAAATAAACTACCTCTTGTAGAGTGGAACTTGTCTTTACAATTAGTTAAAGAAACTTCCCTATTGGACACCGCTTCTTAAAGTAATTAGATAGCTATGTCGCTATTACTTATAGTGTACTAAGAAAGCTACGCTATCTGTAATAATATAAACAATATCCTGCTAACAAAAGATATATATTATTAATAAAACCTAAAGCTATACAAAAATTAAAAATATATAGCCTGCTATAAAAATAATGAATTACTCTATCATATTACAAAATACAAAATCTATTAAAAAATTTGAGACAAAACTCGAGACTTTAACAAAGCTAAGTTTAGTAATTAGTAAAATTCTATTAAGAGAAGCAATTTATAGCAAGGATATTAGTACTAAAATAAATTGCAGAAAAATGTACTTAAAGAGTTTCACTAACAACAAATAACAAAAAGAAGTTTTCAAAATAATCTAATCTTAAAACAAAATGAACAAAGTTTTAACTAGTTTTATTGAGCACTTCTAAGAATATTTTCATGAATAACTATGAAAATTTTGATATAAAATAATGATAGAATAGACAAAGTACTAGGGTATTTCAACTGTAACAAAAAAAAAAAAAGTCAAAAAAAGAAAGAAACTAAACAAAGATAAAAAAAAATACAAGATCTTTTGAACTACTAAAAGAAACAAAATCAGAAAAAAAATCAAGAATTCAAAAAGAAACTTTAAATAAAATTAACAAATAGATAAAATTAAATAAGAAAGAAGAGTAGTTATATTTTAAAATTTAAATAGAAGATCTTGATATAGACTAGTAGCAACTTTTTAATGATTAGAAGTTAAAAGTATGTATATACAAACTAAAGCTTCTATAAGAGAAATAGTTGCTATAGCAGATTGCAATTAGACATCTAAAGATAGTTGAGTAAGCTTAAAATAATTAAAAGAAAGATAGTTTAGCATAAAATTTATAATGAATTATCTTATAGTTCATAGTAGCTTTTCTTTAATAAAATGATAAGCAAGATCATCTAAGTTTAAAAAAAAAAAAAAAAAAAATATATATATATATATTTATATAATAATCTTATTTACAAAATTAGTTCATCAGACCCATAGGTCGATAGTATAGTAGTTAGCATTCCTGAGTTATAATCACAAGGTTGCAGATTTGAATTCAACTAGAAGATAAGGCTTTACTAGGACCATAATTGAAAATAAGATCTTTAGAAGACTTTCTTGTTTAAGAAAAGAACAAAATCTATTCATACAAAAGCAGTCTACTAGCTTAACCATAG